GCATTTTGAGTTCCCACAGGAGCATACTGTATATTTACTCTCTTAGGAAGAAGAGTAACTTGGAGAGATATTTTTATCCAAAATTTTCAAGAAATTTAAATTTTAAGTTTTTCTAAAACTTTGATCTCACCTTCAAGAGTACATACAATATGTTCTTTAGGATTTGTTTTTTTTTTTCAAGCCTATAAAGAACGCAATTTGGAAATTATTTTCTATTGACATCATATAGTTTGAAGATATTACATCCCCATATTTTGGGATCCTAAAAATACTTCAAAACTAGGTTTTGCCCAAGGGAGCAATGGAATGTATGATCCTTCGGGAGCATGGAATCTTTTGTCTCTTTCTTTTTTTTTTTTACATTAAGATTTGAGTTCGTAACCATCGATTAATTCGAGCAATTCCAATAATAAAAGGATAGGGTTTCTATGCGGCCAGCCCGCATAGTGTAAACATGCGGGCTTGAAAATAAATATATTTTTTAAACAATTTTTCATAATAAAATAGATCAAAACTCACCCTCCCACGTGAAACACCAACAAGATAATGCCACGTGGTCAAAGGAGATAAAGCCCTGACCAGGTACGTTTGACGCACGACGGGTGTCAACACCCAGACAGGCTTTTTACGTTTTTGACGCAACCAAAGTGACGCCCTCCTTTTGAAACCGTGGGGTCTACTAACCTACAGCTTTCTTTCCCATGTGATGGTGATGTGACGTCATCGAATTTGACGCCCCTCTTCTTCGTCAAAATTAAGACAAAAAGCTGTTTTTTTTTTAAGATTTTCAATTGGAAGGATAAATTGACGCTTTTTTCTCCGGTAAATTGCGCACTTTTTGAAGTCCAATCAGGGCTGATCTTTTGACACGTCAGCATCTTAGCTTTTATAGATATCCCGAGGTATTATCCTTTGGGATTGTGTCATTTATCTTGGGGCGGTTCGTGTCAAATAATGTAATGGGGTTTCAATATTGGAAATTTATGTGATAGTTTTTAAATATATTTTTATTTTTAATTATGAAATTTAAAGATTAAAAAATAGTGTAAATCAAATACAGTTATGAAAATCTTGAAAATTGACGGTCAAAAAATACATTACAAAAATAACTCATATATATGAATATTTACTTAATATACTCAAAATTTTTGGACACGTAATACCCTTACACCATCATGTAATAATATTTTGCTTAGGAGAATTTAAATAATTAAATAAATATATAATTAAAATTTTTAATAAAAAAAATATATTTATTAAATATAATGGAGTATGACATCATCATAACATCAGTTATGACATCATCTGTATAGATTGCTTCTTAACTTTCCTATACAAATATCTATCCTATTATTTCTAATAATGAAAAAAGTATTTAATCGAAAAATTTATATTACAAAACATTAATATATGAGTACTAAAAAACATTGAATACATTAAGAGAATACTCACATATATAAGTACCTTAATGCAACCCTTTATGTTTATTACAAAGAGATATAGTCACTATTATTCATTATATGTCAAATTTAAAAGCTAAGGCTAGCTAAGAAGTTCGAGAAGCTCTTTTTGTTTGAATTTTGGGTCTTTTCAATAATACCCTTAGCTACATAATTTGAAATATGAGGGATAAAAATGACTGTTACCTCCCTTTACAAAACATAAAATAAAATAAAATGGTCTCTTTGTACGAAAAGTTGTTGTGAGTTAGCAGGTGACTCGTCAACGTTCAATGTCCATTTTTAAGATGGGTGTTATAAGAAAACTATGCGGCTAAAATAAATTTCGATGGCCTAGAAATTCATCTAAAAAAGTCATATTTTAAATATTAATTTTTTTCTTTTGTTATATTAGTGATCATTTTAACTCTATACTCAAACTATACAATCTTTTATAAAAAATACATCCTCAAAATAGGTTTAAGAGGGGCCCCGCATATTTACAATGTGAGTCGACTGACTCATAGAAACCCCATCTCTCTTTTTACAATTTTTCTTTTGATTTTCGGATGGGGTTTCTATGAGTAAGTGATTCATACGATGTAGATGGGGTTCCCACTTAAACCTATCGAATTTTTAGTCCAAAATTTTGGGATTTATGATCTAAGTTAAGATGATCATGAATATAAAATACAATAATATTTACAATATGATTTTTTTAAAAAAAATTTCTCCACAATCTAATTTCATTTTAGCCCCATGAGTTTTTTACAACATCCAACTTAGAAATAGGCATGCACTTGCTAACTAACAAATAACTTTTTGTAAAACTTTTCATGGAGTTCCCAATGTGGTCCTTGTATGACCGAAACGACCGTTTTTTCTCATGAAATTGGGATTGGGGAAATTTCTAAAGCGACCACATAGGGAGCATTTTGGAATTTATGAGATTGGTGTTTTCCATTTCTCACATTTGTGTAATTTTTTTTAGGTAGATGGCACAAATGAGTATTGTCGAGCCCTATGTCAAGGTCTCTGACTCCATTCTCACCAAAGGGTAGGGCCTAAATCCTCATTGACTTACCACCACTTTTGGCTTTAGTGGTAGTATTGCCGAGCCCCATGGCGATATATCTGACTCCATTTTCACCAAAGAGTGGGGCTCAAATCCCTATTGACTTATCACTTTCGAGAATGGCTTGGAGCCTTACGGTAGTATTGTCAAACCCCATGATGAGTTCTCGGACTCTATTCTCACTAAAGGGTAGGGGCCTAAATCCTCACTGACTTACCACTTGTAGGAAAGAGGTGGAGGTTGTGGTAGTAGCACACCCTATACCTCATTTGTACGTTTGGCTTCTATTCTCACTGATGACTTCAAAAAACCGTTAACTAATTCAAAAACGAGTGGGGGCCTGTCATCTATACTAAATTACCCAAAAAGAAAAAGAGATGGCGCAAATGAAGGGGTAAGTTACGATAAAGTTTTGTCCTATTTTATTTTGCTTTCATGAAATCTATTTTAAGAAAGCCAAGTGGTGATGGTGGTAATACCACCTAGTCTCAGTTAAAGGTGTTGATTGCTATTTTCGCTAACGGATTAAAAAGTTTATTCTTTCAAAAGGGATTGTCTACAAAGAAACTATTTATCTTTTGTACACGTAGATCACAATCATTTTTATCCCTTAAATTTCAAAATGGGTGGTTGTAAGAATATCATTGAAAATGCACAAAGTTAAAAAAAAATTCTTAGACTTCGTGACTCCCTCCAAGCCATTCAATTTGACATCTAATGAATGAGAATGATTGTGACCTCATTGTATAAAAGAGAAATGGTCATTTTGTAGACAAACACCTTTTAAACGATGGACAGGAGTTCATCCCCATTGACTTTTCAAAAAAAAAAAAGGAGACAAAGTGGCTAGTTTGATGGAAATCTCCTTCAGAGAAGGACATTCCTAACAAAATGATCATGCCATACTATAGCATCAATTGTATATAAGAAGTGATTATGGTTAATATCCAGATGAATGTCTGCAAACTACTATTTTGTCTCCACTTTGTGAATGAATAAGAAAGGTGTACTATAAGACTATTTACATTGGTACAAGGAGGTCACAATTCCTCTCTATTGTTGGATGTGGAATTATCTTATTTGAGACATTATCATTGATTAGGTTCAGAGTTTCAATTTTGTTTTTTTGAACTTTAGGACACACCTTAGCTTTAATAATTCATAAATAAAGACCTGTGGTGATTGTGACCTTCTTGTACCAGAAATAAATAATCTTATTGTGTATGAAATCCCATGTGAATAACTCCATTAAATCCAACATATATATGCTCCTCCTTTACCTAAGCACAAGTCAAGCAAAATAGACAAGTTGTGGATATGTTACACCTTGACTGTCTAACATGAGCAAAAGGACATTTTAAAAGTAGAATTCTAATCCATCTGGCTAAACAAATGTGCCCTTAGAGAATAGTCTCAGGGTATAGATAGTCAGGGTGGTAGGTGCCACAACATGACGCCTTGAGTTTCATTCTTACCACGGGTGGGGCGCCTTTTAATGAATTACTCAGAAAAAAAAAAGAAGGGATTTTCTTCCACCCCAATTTTTGATGAAAAAATCTCATATAAGGTTGCAAATTTATACTATAGAAATAAGGTGCACCTCAAAACTCTAGTAAAAAAAGTGTTCAAAGTTGGAAAACCTTCTAATTGATCATCTCAACTTCACAGTATTATAGAGTAAAAAAAAAATTTCAAGTCCTAAAAAAATTGCATCTTCTAACAAGTTATCTGAATAGTCTATTTTCAAGGTTTTCATGTATTTATAGGTCTACACAATCTGTGCTATTTTTGGAATTTTAAATTTCATAATATTCTTGAATATGGATTCTCAAGTTATAAGAAGGTCATTCATACTAGAATTACATTTTTTGGCAAAGTTTAGAAGTGCCCTTTGCTTGTATAATATAAGATGGGCACTGAGTACCTTATTTTCATCCCGGCCTTACCAAAAAAAATTAGGATTTCAATACCTAAATTCTTTACATTGTAACAATTGTTGTAGACCGTCTATTTCGCCCTAAAAATAAATGATTGCAGATCCTCAAGATATGTACTATTTTTTGGGCTTCAAATTTTCTCGACGGTGTTGGATATTGATTTTAGAGCTATCATAAAGATTTTCTATACCCAAAGTGCTTTCAAGGTGCAGAGTTGAGGTGAGGTTTTACTTTGTTTTCATAAAACCTAGGCTATACAAAAAATTCAAAGGATAGAGGATCACTTGGTCATTTCTAATAAAGATTAAGGTTCCGGCCCTTGAAAAGGGTACATTCGTATATACCTGCCCGGAAACAGCAGATCCAGAATCAGGCAATGTCGTTTATAGCCACGTGGCGCGCCTTTGTTGGTTTAGGAAGGGAGTGGATGAACAAAAGGAGGAAGCGGTCTTTGTGGTAAGGACAACCGGCGATAACGAGTATCTTGGTGGGGTTTTACCGGTTGGTCCAGTTAAAATTGAGGGTTTTAAAACCAGGGGTTTTAGAACAAAAAAAACTGATATGCTTGCAGGGTTTTGGTGAAGAGAGGAAAAGAGAGAGAGAGAGAGAGAGAGAGATGCTGTCTGGTTAGAGAGAGAATTGCATCTGGTTCTATCTAATCTCATATCCGTCTCTTTAATTTTTTTTCGCATTTTCCTTAGAGAGAAAGAGAGAGAAAGAGAGAGAATATCTGAGAAAAGTAAACTCTTTTTTCCTTTTCAATTTGAGTTTATGCTCATGGCTCAGATGTATATCTAATTTTTTCTTTTGTGGAAGACCAGAATTTTGGATCTCTGAGACAATGCCTGCTGAATCACCTTTCCTGGTAAGAAGATTGACTTTTAATTGTTTAATTTCATTATTTTAGGATTTAATCTTTATAACACGCCAAAAGATTACCACCATATCTTACTCCTTTTTCGTGATATTTTAGTTTCATATGGTAATAAATTATTGATATGCTAGATATGAAATTATTAATATGCTACAGATAAAGAATAACTTTTTAGTTCCTTGTGTAATTTTATTTTATGTTTTCCAGTTTAAATATGGGTATTGCATCCTGACGATGTTTTGGATTGATCTTTCTGAATGGGGTTCATTTGATTGTAGTATGTATGTTTTGAGCATTTTCTTTTTATAATTGGTTTGCAAATTATTCGTTTTGTTTTTTCGCTTGTATTGTTTAATTTTGTGAGGATTGGAACGATTGCCTCCTAATAGTCGGCATTTTATCATTTATGAACTTTATTTTTTCTTTTATTGGCAGAAAAAAAAAGTACTCATGTTATCATTTATGAATATTGTCGTGGGTTTTCTGATGATACTTTAAGATGTGGAAACCGAAATTTCTACTCAATATACAATGGGCAAGCGAATTTGATTATATTGATCTCCCATGGTCTCAATGTCATCTCTTGAAGTTTATAGTGTAAGAATTGTTCATCTGTCAACAATTGAAGGAAAAGAGATCATTCATTTCATTCATTTATCTTTTCATAAAATCCTCTTGGTATTTATTTATGGAAAAGTCTATATAAGGTTGATACCTTAAAATGTACAATTAAGGTGCACCTCTAAAATCCTTGGAAAAAGGTTGTTTTGATGCTGGAAAAACATCTAACTGATCATCTCAACATTGAGATGCATAGATATAGAGAAAAAAGGAGATTTCAAGTTCTAAAAATAGTACATTTTGCAAAACATTATTTGGGCCGTCCATTTCCAAGATTTTTCATGCATTTATATATCTGCCTGATTTGAAGCATTTTTGGAGTTTAAACTTTTATAATTAGAGATAAAAATAGATTCCCGAACCATCCTAAGAATTTTCGACACCAAAATTGCATCTCGCGACAAAGTTTGGCGGTGCACCTTACTTTGATTGTTTAAGGTTGAAACACTATGAAAACCACAATTTCAAAAAAAAAACATTGTGCAAACCACTCCTTTTATTTATTCATGAATGTTATTAATTTATTTAGTTTGGAATCTAGATTGATGTCTCATCAACAAAGAACGTAGTAGTGGATATGTTTATCTACTATGTTTTAGCTAGTCGTTCAAGACTTGGATGAGTCCACTTGGACTCGGCTGAGTTGCCCCAAGTTTTATGTACAACTCGGCTACATAAAAAAATTGAAAAAAATCCCAAAATATATAGAAAAATAGTCTTATAAAATGTTTATATATGATTTCGATCTCTATTGGCAAAGGTTGGTGAGTTTTTTTTTTTTGGCTATAATCCCTTTTTTTATTTTCTTTTTTTTGGATTTTTAAAAAGTTCCCAACTATAAATCTATTTTTTGAAATCAGTTTTTATAGACTATTTTAAGATTATTTGAATTTCTTAGGTTTCTTTTGGTTTTATTTTACCTTTACTACTTTTATTTTATTTTTTAATTTTTCTTATTTTTTTTTTAAAATTTTCAGGGCTGTTGGCACTGTATAGTACTTGGGCGAGTTCACTCAAGCTCGCTTGAGTGACTTGCCTTGGGCCAGGGCTAAATACCTGCCCTGAATCGAGTTGCGAAACACTGTTAGCCTTGTATGGCTGTTAATATATCCCCAAGTTATTGATTACCCTCATTTGTCTTATATGATTCACTTAAGGCTTTGGATCAAGAATTTAGACCCTAAAATGAACCATGTTTGGTGAAGTTGGCTCCATAAGTTTGCCTATTGGGAAAATTTTATGAAATAATAACTTTATTCCATTAGAAAGTATCGATTTTTCAAGGACATTTTTCTTTGAGAGAATTTGGAGTAAAATCAGAGTGTCACTGACTTTCATTTCAAAGAAGTGCTAATAATAACAGCCATGACTCTTAAAAGGGAGATATTGCATGGCATAATGGATTGTTTCTAACGGAATGCATTTTGTGTTTCACAAAATACAATATTGGTTCAGTAAAGAATTCATAATTTGATATTGGTTTAGGATATCTAGGAGGACATGGATGGGCTAGTTCAAGACATACTAAATGGAGAGGACATTTTTAGTAGGGGATTTAAATGGTCATGTAGGAAAGGATAGTAGAGGATATGAAGGGATATATAGGGGAAATGGGTTTGATGAAAGAAATGAGATGGGTGAGGCTATTCTAGATTTTGCTATGGCCTACGACCTAGCAATAGCAAACACTTGCTTTAAAAAGTGAGATAAACATTTAATAACCTATAAAAGTGGATCATCTAAAAGCCAAATAGACTTCTTCATAGTTGAGAAGATAGATCAACTGTCATGTAAAGACTGGAAGGTTATCCTTGGAAAAAGTTTGACTAGTAATGCAGGCTTGTGGTTATGGCCGTCTGTATAAAGAGATTGAAGAGAAGGCGTGATATTAATAGGTGTCCAAGAACTAGGTGGTGGAATTAAAAAAATGAGAAGATAGACTTATATAGGGGTAAATTAGTTAAAGAAGGAAAATGGAATACTGAACATGAGTTCAACGTTATGTGAAATAAGATGGTTGACTGTATTAGAAAGTGAAAAGAGATTTTAGGAAACACTAGAAGGGAAAGAATTTCCGATAAGGAAACTTGGTGGCTGAGTGATGAGGTTCAGAAGGCTATTAGCAAAAAAGCGATCAAGTTATTAAAATTGACAATGTAATAGAAATAATCAAAATTTAGAAGAGTACAAAAATGCTAAGAAAAATACTAAACAAATAGTAAGGCTAAACTTAAGGCATATGATAATTTATACAGTAAATTGGGAGCTAGAAAAGGTGAAAAAAATGCCTTCAAATTAGCAAAAAATGAGAGGAAAAAAAAATGTAGGGATCTAGACTATATTAAGAGTGATGATCAAAGGGTCATGGTGAAAGATGAAGAGGTCAACAAAAGGTTGAGAGCTTATTGTCAAAAATTATTAAATGATGAATACAATGGAAACATAGTAGTAGAAGGAACCATTGACATAAATGAAGGTGGAGATCGTAGATGCATTCGTCGGATTATGATATTGGAAGTGAAAAAAGCTTTGAAGAGGATGAAGATAGGAAAGGCTTTAGGGCCAGATGATATCCTAATGGAGGTTTGGAAGTGCATGGGGGACATCGGCATTGACTTGTTGACCAAGCTATTCAACAAGGTGTTGAGAACAAAGAAAAATGCCAGATGAATGGCATAAAAGTACTGTGGTACCTATTTGCAAGAACAAATGAGACATACAAAATTGTACAAACTTTCGAGGGATCAAACTTATGAGGCACACTACGAAATTGTAGGAGAGCGTGATTGAATGACTACTAAGGCATGAAACAAGTCTACAGAAAACCAATTTGGTTTTATGCTAGGGAAGTCAACAATTGAGGCTATTTTCCTACTTAAGAAATTGATTGATAAGTTTAGGGCGAAGGGATAAGACCTCCACATGGTCTTTATTAATCTAGAGAAAGCTTATGATAAAGTACCTCAAGATTTAATGCGGTGGGTATTGGAAAAAAAAACGAGTCTCCAAATACTATATCGACGTAGGGAGAGATATGTTTGAGGGAGTGCAAACTAGTGTACGAACAATTAGTGGAGAGACGAGTGAGTTTCCAATGACAATAAGTCTACATTAGGGTTTAGTGTTGAGCCCATATCTCTATCCTAGTTATAAACAATTTAACGAGGTGCCTATAAGATGAGATACCATGGTGTATGTTATTTGCAGATGACATAGTTTTGATTGATGAGACCTGAAACGGCATCAACACAGTTAAAACTTTAGAGGGATGCTTTAGAATCTAAAGGTTTTAAAAATTAGCTGGACTAAGATAGTTTATGGAATGCAAGTTTAGTAATAATATGAATAGAGACGAAGTAGGTAAGATTGACGGTCAAGAAATACAAAAAAGAGCGCAGTTTCGATATTTTAGGTCGATAATCCAAGAAAATGGAGATATTGATAAAGATGTCGCGCATAGAATTAGACTTGGGTGTGGGCAGAATGTTGGGCTGTCAAAAAACAATATACCCATAGGATGAGTATAACTGAGATGAAGATGTTGATATGGATGAGTGGCAAGACAAGAAGGGATAAAATTCAAAATGAATACATTCGGGAGAACTTAGGTGTGGCTCCAATAGACGATAAGATGATAGAAAGTAGACTTAGGTTGGCTGGCCATGTGCAATGCAGACCCAATACGACACCTGTTAGGCGGTGTGACTTGGTTCAAGTGGAAGGCTAAAAAAGGGTAAGGGATAGGATCAAAAGAACATGGTTGGAAGTAGTAAGAAACGATATGGGGACTTATTGCCTCACTGAGGGTATGGCCCTTGATAGAGTGGAATGGTGGATCAAGATTTGTGTAGCCACTAAATAGTTGGGAAAAGGCTCTTCTGATGATGATGATGATATTGGCATAGTAAATAATTGATAATATGTCACATGTTGAAGTTAACATCCATTAATAAGGAAAGTATACATCAGGTTGTGCCGAAGATCACATACTGACACATACATAAAAGTAAAAAACAAAGGGCCCTCTTATCTAGGAGCATGGAGATGCTGATATGTATGTAGGGCATGGAGCTACTGATATGCATATGGAGTCAGAGATGCTGGGGAGATATATTATGCAATGATTTATTAGTGATATAACAAAGCCCCTTCTTAGAAAATAATATTAGGGGCATTTGTTTGATCTCAAAATTTGCACATATACACGTACTCTCATCCCAAAGAGTCTCAGAAGAAAAAAAAAAAAATTTCACCCTGGAAAGTGTCCAAATGAATCCCCCTCCACCAATGAATATAGGCCGTCCGTATGATAGATGGTTAGATATGGGCTTTTAAGAACGCAAAATCTTTCTTCTTCTTCTTGAAACGGTTCATCTGCTGCTGATAAGGTAATCTGCAAAATTTGGGATAACAAAAGGAAATAGCTGAGTACTAGATGTAATCATCCCATTAAATTGATGGCCTACATTTTATTAAAAAAATCACGTTTAGGAAGCGATTTCATTTTTTTTCTTTCTTTCTTTCATTAGGAAGAAGAGATTGTGCGTGAAATTGGTGCAGTGATGGATGTGCGTGAATTGGTCCCTAGCGTCTTTCACTTAGTTATCAATTACGATAAGTGGTGGTGGACATTAATGCATGAAATTAAATATTTATGACTTCAAAGAATAATCGATTTCATCCAAGCCTTATCCATCTATTTGGGGTTGGCACTTTGAAGAATAATATGATCCAAAAAAATAAAAATCTTAGTTTCTCACTGGCACATAGCTGTGTCTATTGATCATTCATTAACTCTACAGCCATGTCATGTCCTAATATGAATCGATTCACTCTACCGACGTGGTTGTTTACTTCTACTCTGTCTTCTTCCCTCGCCTCTTTTATGATTGAACTGATTCCCGCATTATTTTGACATGAATGCATTGTGTGTAATTGACTCTTCCAAATAACTTGGGAACCCAAAGAAACTAGAGACTGATTTTGGATCTAAGAGTAATGTCCAAAATAATATCATACACATATTTATTACGTCTCTGCTGGTACATTTTTATATTCTTGTTAATTTTAATTTTACTTTTATTAAAAAATTGCCATGTTTCTTTTATTTGTCATTTTTATGTTTTCTATATTTCACTTCATATTTTCATGCTGTGCACGTATTGTAGATAGTACATTGCAATACAATACAAATTTGCAGCACTATAATGTTATGAACTTTTAGTGCATATGCATTAACTCATCTGTTTTACTGTTGGGACTGTTTGCAGTTAAATAATTATCTTTCAGGAACATGAGAAGTATTGTTTTGATCATGTTCACAATTGAGGGCAGGATTCTGTTGCTAGGACCTGCATGATTTGTGATCAATGGGTGCAAATTACGCATATATGTATCAGCATATACATTAACATGGAACCCTTTCCTGCTCTAAAGTTAGTCGCGGTTTAACGTAATGATGCTGTCATTATGTATTTGCTGCATTTCTTTTTGGTAGCATGAACGATGGTATTGGAAAAGAGCTTAGATTATGGATTTAAAGGTTACAGGGTGCCCATTATGCCCCGTGCATCAAGATCGGCCAGGGTAATTTGACTCTTAATTTCAGCCTTTTTCAATAGACAGCAATAATTCAGCTTTATATTATACAATGGATGTGAGTGGTCAACCATCAAGCTTATTTATTTTTGTACATATGTTTTTCAGGGGAAGGCTTCCGTCACAAAGAAAATTGGGGGCTGTCAAAAAATGTTTGCCTTTGAATTATTGGCCAGTGTTGCCAGTCAAATATTACAAAAGAATGAAGATAACGTGAATCCACAAGAGATGGCTAGAATGAACCGCGAAAGCAATGGTGATTGCTTGAAGGCTACTGGATGGGGTTCTATAAATATAGATGGCTCACTTGCAATTGTCAGCCAAGGAGTTGGAGGACTGCTCGGAGAACACGAAAGATCTAGGCTAGGTTCTTGTAATAAAAGCTTCTCTGATAATTGCAGGAATAAACTACTAAGATTAGATGACTCTGTGGGTTTAGAGACCAAGTGTCCTGCTTTAGTTAGTTTAGATAGCAGTAGCGAGAGGCTCTCTTGTGGTAGAGCCTTGCATCGCAGTTCTAGTAAGCATGTAAAATATGTTAATAGAGATGATGACGAAAAGTTTTCTGGCTGTAGTCAGCCTAGTCCTCTGAATGCAAGTTCCTCTCGGCCTTTATGCTTTGGGGTGCAAAGGATTGAGGAGATGGTGGTCTCAAAGCCATGGAAATTTGCTCCAGAATTATTGAAGAAGGATGAGTTTCCTGCCAATGGTATGCTGATTATTTGCCTTCCGGTAGGGTGATTTCTTGTCCCACTGCAAAATTTTGCTCTCTCCTTATAAATGTATTAGTTGAGATGCCTGCATATCATATAGAATTATAATGGATTGCTTGACCATTTTAGGGTTTGGCTAACTGTTACTCCAAGTAGCAACTGTTTGGCTCAGTGTTTTAAAACTTGGGTTTGAGACTCAGGATTCATCTGAATCGATTCGGCTCGGGCATATCTCAAACTCCATTATCCTTATAAAAGAAATTAAGAGTGTTGGCTGAGTCTTGGAAGACTCAACGAGTCTATGAAATCTTTATGGGTTTGCAAGGCTGGAAATCAAATGCATTTGCTAGTTTCTATCAACTTGTATTATGCTTTTAGGACATGGTAGCGAAAGGAGGGGTTGGGGGAATTGCCTTCGCCTTTACCTCACCTGGGGAGCATTCTAAAACCCAGTATATCCTTTTTTTAAATTTTCCGTACTTTTTTTATTTTTTCTACATTTTTTATATTTATGAGATTATTAGATGGTACTCGGTCTGACCGAACCAGGGCCATGCCCTCACCTTACCACTGGTCTGGTCTTGACAACATTGTGTATGAGTCCCAAGTCGCAATCTGACCTACCTCTGAGCTCACCCAAGTGCTGAGCTGTGTCTGAATCTTGAACCTTGATTTAACTATGATACGTTGAGAGAGCACATTTTATAGTTATATATAAATTCATTTGATGAATATTTTCCTTTTACCTAGCAGTTCCTATGATTTTGCTCTGTGTTGTTGAGAAATTCCATTTAGAATTTTTTACAAATTCATTTGATGAATCTTTTCCCATGACCAACTGGTTCTATGAATTGAAGTGAACTATTCGCTTTTTTCTCTTTCTGTATCACTTATTTGGTGCAAATGGTCCTTTAAAAAATCATTATATTGTAATTTTTTGTGGTAAGTGGTCTTCTAATTGTGAGTTGTTTTTATTTTTTATTTTTTATCAACCGATCAGATGTGAAAACGAAACCCTTTTTCCGTAGTAACAAAGCATGCCACATACGGCGAAGAGCTTCATACCATTCTTATTTTAAAAGAAGGAAGCTGTTCAAACAAAGCTCAGTCTCAAAGTTTAAAGCAATTAGTATCTGTGCTTCCACCTTTCCTGAAAAGTGTCGCAATGGAGAAGATCCTGCTTATCCAGCAAATATACATAGAGGTTAATATTCTGCCAGTAATAGTTAAAGTTGAAAATTATTGAAGGCCCAGATGGTGTGTTGCTAAATACTCTCTCTCCTATATTGCACAGCAAGTGTTGGAGTGTCATCCCCTGCATCAGTTTTGAATTCATCGTGGAAAACCAGGGAGTCACATGGTAACAATTTTATTAATGGATCTATGAACTTGCACTGCTGTATAGTTGTGTCATTTTGGTTCTCAGGTTTTAGGAATAATTTCTGTTGATGCTCAACCTGCTCAGTGAAACTCAGTGTCAAGTCTTTCAAAGTACCAGAGCTCTTTATTGAGATGCCTGAAACTGCAACTGTTGACTCCCTGAAGGTATGGGATCCTTCTTTTGTTTCCAAATTATAATCAAGGAACCTTTCTTTGATCATCTTACTTGAGGATCTTTCATAACTTAGTTAACTGTCTGAATTACGCTTAGGGATGACCATGTGAGAAAATGAATCCTTTTGATATATAGTGAAACAACTAAATGCCCTCAAATTTCAGCAAGTATACGCATTACAACCACATTATAACCAGATTCTTCATAACGGGCAAAACACTGCAGCTTTCAAAATGACTAAATGGGATCCTCTATCCGTGCACAGTGCAAAAGAAACGAAAAGAACGGAACTTTTGTTATACCTTGAAAATTGTTTTCAATGTGATGCTGTTATGGATTCTGAGTGCTGAAAAGCATCCCAGTATAAATTGTCCCAATTGATGAACTCTCATAATGAGAAAACACTCTGTTTGAGGGAGTAAATTTTCCACATTAAATTGAAGTATAGTGGAAAGCTTGGACTATTTCAAGTTCCTCTTTTCGCTAGTGTTTCAATTTGACTGTTATTTGATTAGCTCATGGATCGGTTTGAGTCACTTGGTTAGAAACTTGGTGTTCCTGAAACCTCTATTATTTGAAAATACGATTTACTTTTCACCTTAGTAACTCCATGGGTGTGTTACTATACAGCTCCTTTCCTGAAATACAGACAGCAATTTAAAAATATTTGATGTATGACGAGTGAAAACTCGTTGAATACGGTGCTTTGTCTCAGTCATTGGATGCAGTGTTCGATACCCAGTAACTGATAAGATACAAGCAAAATGGCTTGTTTACGATACATATGCCCTTCAAATCCTGAGTACAAGACAAGGAAAACCTTCTGAAAAGCAATCATGCCTTTACCTTAGGAAACTATTGAAATATTGTAAAATATCTCCTAGATTTGTTCTCTCTAGGTCATGGGCATCAACCGAGAACTTTGGGAATGTTGAATGCTTATTTTTATGTGGAATTTTGATGTTATTTGCCAGAGGGCAGTCATGGAGGCTGCTATGACAGTACTTGGTGGTGGACTACGTGTTCATGTTCTCCTACACGGGAATAAGGTCCCCGACGACTCTAAAACTCTTCTTCAGTCAGGGATTTCACAAGGAGATAATATGGACACACTGGGCTTTATGCTTGAGCCCAATCCCATTGGTGACCTAACACTAAAATCCGATGATCCTCTGTTTATGCTCTACCCTGCTGCAAACCAGCCATTTACCAGGTACACCTTTGTTAACATAGAAGTTTGCGCGATTCATATTTTAAAAAATGAGTGATCCTAATGTTTCCGAGCTGTTCCTCATTTTAGGAGGGGTTTGTACAATGTGGGTTTATGTCTTAAGAATGATGATTAGTTTGCTTAGTTGAGTTACTTGCTGGTTGGGTTAAGACTTTTCAGACTGAGAGTTGGGTCTAAAAGAAAAAATAAGAAACGATCAAAGGATTGGATTTGAAATGGACTGGGAATTATATCTTTTGTTAGTTGTTTTTAGCATGCCCTAATAAGTGCATTGGTTGGTCCATAATTCTTTTGCTTGGTAAGGGATGTTGCTGTCCTGTCAAGAGTGCCTTTGCGTTTGGTGACATTGTTGCTGATAGTGAATTTATCTTCAACACCGTTGTTCCAGCTGTTAAGTTTCTTTATTATAATTTGGAAGATCATGGATTGCCTCTTTTATCTTTTGTAAGTTTGTGAGATTAGATTAGTAGGAAGATTCTTTGGAATGTATGGCCAACTGTAATATTCCGTAACATTAAGAGGGAGAGGAACAAGAAGATTTTGACATTTTAGCTGTGTATCTAATTTGGAGATCAAGGATGGCATTGACGACTCGATCATGTCATAGAAAATCATGGAGAAGGATTAGTGAGTCGATTTTCTCAGATGATTATCTTTGGAAGACGTGCTTCACAGATTCATAGCCTGTCATTGCTGGCTATCAGCCCTTGTTAATACTTTCGATCAAAATTTCCACCCCATTGAGCTTTTGTACTTATTCTTTACACGTTAGTGTCATCATCATCCAAGCCTTACCCCAATGATTTGGGGTCGGCATTTGTTACGTTAGTGTTCCATCTCTAAATCTCTTTATTTTTTTCAACTTAGAGCTAAATTTGTGTATTTTCTTAAAATATTTCCAAGCAGGTACCATGCAAACCCCAGTATGGATTCAATCGACGGAGGGGATCATTCACAAACTGAATCTTGCAATGGGCTGAAGAAAAACCATGATGAAGATGATACTCATCTATCACATGAGGTTCCTGCCCCTGAATCATCCAAATCTTTGATCGTGCTCCCAAACATGTGCACGGAAGCCTTAAATATGTTTCCTTTGGACCAAAGGTCCCAAAAAACTGAGCTTACTCGACGTCGAATAAGGAGACCATTTTCTGTTGCAGAAGTTGAAGCCCTGGTGCAGGCAGTTGAACAACTTGGAACTGGGAGGTGCGTACCATTTATAGCTCCAGTAAGCCTTATAAAAACATATATTCATAAATACATGCATATGTCAATACATATCAGACACAGGGAATGTGCTAGCTAGAATATGACCATAGAGTGAGAATGGTCACAAATGTCATCATTTCCAACCAATTGATGGGTGTGATGGAGAGAGAATGTGCCTTGCCACTTGGGTGATTTCGTGTTCTCGTGGGCCCCACTTGCTCACTAACGCCATCCTGGCATCAACTGGACTGGGATAACTTCTATGACTATTCTCGTTGAATGATCTTATGGATCATACTCTACTTTCCCTTAGAGAAATCAGACAACAAAACACACATACAAACATGCATTCATATGGCGACATATGCTATGTGGAATCATGGAGTTCTTGTATGATATTCATATTCTATTTTGATGTTTGGTGTTTTTGGGAGCATTTATGGCATTTTCCTCATGATGGGTTTTTGTTGCAGATGGCGTGATGTCAAGCATTGTGCCTTTGACTGTGCAAAGCATCGCACCTATGTTGATTTGAAGGTGTTTTCCATCTGTTTCTATGTTTTTATCCTTCTTAGAACTTTCAGATTTGGAAATCAAAATGGTTTTTGTGCTTGTGGCAACAAGAGGAGCGAAATGAAATATTGTCTGTTTGGTGCTAACATTTGAGGTCATAGTCATTTCCAAACATTAATTTTCTTAGTGATCTCTAAAATATCAGGTTGCATATAGACCTTGTTTGCTGTTTTCTTGTTTTGTGGTTTACACTGAGGAGGGCTCGCAGTGGTTTGGGCAGGCGGGCAGCCAAGCATAGTGCTAGGCGAACATATGTGGCGTGTGAGATTGGGCCCCGGCCGGGCAGTTCATGGCCAGGCCTGGCCTGTTCCAGCTCGGGCACATATAGAGTGCCAGGCCCTTCCAACAGTTGGGCCCAATATTCGTGCCTCTTGGGCCAGCCCGTCCACCCCCTTGCCAGGCCTATCTTTATTAAGGACTGATAACTTCATACAAATCAGGTGTCGTCACACAACCAAAGGCCGTGGGACATGCTTGCATCAAGAATATTTTATGGGGAGTGCTAGAAACACCTGTATTGTTTCTGATGGAACCTTAAGTGTTATGTCAACCGTTGTTTTTAAGTAGGTTGTGCTTAGTGACTCCACACATTAAGTTGTCACCAGCAACAGCAGGGGACGAATCTAGCAATTCTGAATTTTCATATTTATTTCCCTTATTTTTTTTCTTTCAACTAATCATTTTCTTATGCAGGATAAATGGAAGACATTAGTTCACACGGCCCAAATCTCCCCACAACAGAGGAGAGGGGAGGCAGTTCCTCAAGAGCTTTTAGACAGGGTTTTAGCTGTTCACTCCTACTGGTCACCACAAAAACCCAAGGACAAGTAGGAGTTAACCCTTAATTGACCTCACTGAAGTTGTTTTTGTATATATCAGTAAGAGACCTTGTGGATGGTTTTTAGTTGATCAATTCTTATGGTAAAAAGAACCCAGAGAGACCCGACTTCTGCACCTCTGAAATTTGATTCTTTGATAGAAGGGTTAATGTGTATGTACAGTATGGAGTAAACGTACCCAAAGGCTGTATTTTAGGATTCTATTCATAGAAGGGTGAATTAGAAAATTTCAAAGCTTGAGGTTTATTAATGGAACCATGCCTGCAAGGCAATGGATGGCTGGGGATTTGAATGTTTATTTCACCATATTTATTGTATGAGCTAAATTTCATATGTTTTTTGTTTCTTCCTCATCATCATGCTATAAAAGCAAGCCTTTAATGGGATGGGCTGGCTCGGCCCAGGTCTTGCTCTTATTCAAGAGCTCGGCCTGGCCTGGATCGAGCATCTTTTCTTCCAAGCTTGGCTTGAGCTACTCGAGGCTTATATATATATATATATATATATATATATATATATATATATAGTAGATACTAACTAAAAGTACTAAC